AAATAAAATCCTCTCATCATCATCATAAGGTCGTCAGTCCTAAGACTGGTTGGACACGTACCTCCACTCTTTCCTATCCTGAGCTAATCTACGTATTCCCCTAAAACTAGAACAACCGACATCCTTGACTATTTGCGAACAGTAATCTACATCTACTCTCTACATCTACTCCTCTTAACTCCTGTTTCTGCCTCTAATATGTCTCTGATTAGCCTCCTATGCCAGAGAAGGTGTCCTACCAACCTATTTCGCCTATTTTTTATTGACTTCCATGGAGTCCTCTGTTCTCCTATTCTTTCCAATACCTCTTCATTTCTAACCTTAAAATAATATCCCACCAGAAATAAATTTTAAAAAAAAATAAATACAAATTTAATTGTGATAATTAAGAAACTTGAAATAATCTTTAAAGAAATATGTCAAAATTAAGATTATTACAAGTTACCTAATAAATTGTACCATTTCTACGCCTATTCAATCATGTACAATAATAAAAACAAAAAAATTTAGTTTTTTCGGTGTAGGAAGAAACTATTATTATCATTTTCTGTCGGTATGAAATGACTTTTACATAGCGCAGCCTCCCATAAATAAATCACCCTTTATTAAATCTATTTATTGAATAACTCGTTTATTTACATTTATTATGTTTAATAAAAGCTGAAAGTGCAAACAATTGTAAGATATACTGAGGGTTCCGAAATTAACTAATTTGGTCGATCAAAAACGATGGAGGCAATAATTTTATGTTCATTTTAGAAATTTTTTCCTTGAAGAATAACAATAACTAAAGATGTGGAAATTTAGTAATGGCATTTCGATTTGAAATATGAAATGTCGACTTACAACTGGAAATATCGATTTATACCTCGAAACTTTGACTTGCAACGAAAAATCTCGACTTGTAACTCGAAATATCGACTTAAACTTGAAATTTTGAGTTGAGTATTTAGTTACCTATCAGTATACTATGTTTCCGCGACAGCAATCAATAGTACCGTAGTTTCAACGAAATATGTGGTCCTAACAGTTCATTTACACCACGGAAATCATAGTTTTTCCCATTAATTTTGTGAAGTTTGTTGTCTGTGATTCAATTGCTTATTCGATTAAAATTGGGTTAGATTAGGTTTGGTTTAACCGTGTAAACAAAAAAAAAGTACTTACTTCGTTCGTGTTGTCTTTAGCTACCCTAAAATTATGATCCCATTTGAATTTAAAGCTTTCATTAGATTGGTTGTAATCATAAGGTTATCATCATCATCATCATCATAAGGTCATCAGTCCTAAGACTGGTTGGACACGTACCTCCACTCTTTCCTATCCTGAGCTAAACTTCGCATTTCCCTAAAACTAGAACAGCCCACATCCTTAACTATTTGCGAACAGTAATCTAATCTAGGTCTATCTCTACCCCTCCTAACTCCTGTTTCTGCCTCTAATATGTCTCTGACTAGACCTTCATGCCTGAGAAGGTGTCCTACCAACCTATCTCGCCTATTTTTTATTGACTTCCATAGAGTCCTCTGTTCTCCTATTCTTTCCAATACCTCTTCATTTCTAACCTTTTCTACCCACGATATCCTCATCATCCGCCTATAACACCACAATTCGAACGCTTCTAACCTTTTCTTTTCCGCCGCGCCCACTGTCCATGTTTCGCACCTGTACAACGCCGTGCGCCAAACATACACCTTTAACAACCTTTTTGGAATTTCTAAATTAACCGTTCGCGA